CCTACAAAAATGTAGGAAATGCAATGACAATTAAGTATGAGAAAGAAACTGGAATTCTGGGTCTAGAGATGTTCATTATTTCATCCCCACATATTGCTCTCTTAGGAACCTGTTGAGGACAGGACAATGGGGAAAAACAAAGTACATGATAAGCTTGAATGAAAATATCTATATAAAACCTATCACTTGCTTAATGAATATACAATAATACAATTTTAAAATTTAAAATAGCATTGTTTTATTTATCATTACTCTTCAAAATGGTTTAATCATTTAATACTTACTGCTATTCTAAAGCAAATCAGGTCTGAGTCTTGGTTCTCTGCCTAACCTACCACAGGAACTTGCCCAAAACTAATGCACCTATGACAAATATCTGACCCAATCTGTGACAGTTAAAATCTCTCTTCTGGGGGCTGGAGAAATGGCTCAGAAGTTAAGCGCACTGGCTGATTTTCCAGAGGATCTCATTCTGGTTCCCAGCACCCACAAGGAGGCCAGCAACTGTTTATAATTCCTGTTCCAGAGATCTAATGCCTGCTTCTGTCCTCCATGGGCCTTGCACACATGTAGTGCTCTTACATCCTATTCAGGCAAAACACTCATACATAAAATTAAATGTAATTAATTAAAAAGAATCTCTGTTCTGGAATTTTATCTAGATAGTACAGGACCCTAGATTTGTAAGGCTATGTAAAATTGAAATGCATGTCAGGGTTTTTTCAATCACATATAACTAAGAACTGTTGAGAAGAAGCTGGGAACAAAGAGGAGAAGGCAGGGCATAGGCAGAGCTGCAGAATCCAGGGCACCGTCAGAGACTTTGGTCTCTATGAAGGCTAGACACGAGTTTATGACGTTCCCGTTTGCTCTTCACTCCTCCTTTCTTTACTCCTCCTAGCTTATCAGTCTTTTAGATCTACTATGTGAACAATTTCTTAGACCAATTATACAAAATAAGACTTTCAGTGGCCTATTTAGAGCAGGAGTTATGGAAACAGGAAACAGGGAAGACTGGGAGGATGAGGAGCCATACCTCTCTCTATTGAAATCAACTTTCAGTCTCCCTTAACACACAGTGGAAAGAGGAGGCTTTTCCTTGTGTCTGATGAGGATATAACATTTACATACGTACATATATAGATATGAACAGGACAAAGGGTGAATAAAGAGCCTTACATACTGTGTAAATACATGTACATACATACACATAACTGACAACAAGACCACCGAGAAAGAGACACATTCTTCAAGCCCATAAACCAATGTGACACATAATTAACAAGGATATTGAGAGAGGATAAAGGCCACAAGGGTAGAGAGAACATTTCACAATGTCTTCATCTGAGAATAATAGTAATTCAAGGCATTCATTATTAGCCTAGTTTATTATTATTCATCAAAAACTATTTATTGAGCACTTAACTATGCAGACCTTTTGGTAAATACTAGGGGAAACTAAAGGTAAACCAGATACAACCTTTATCTAATTACACAGGATTAATAGTTTAGTTCTGCAATTTTACAGAGTAATGAACATTAAAATAAGCCTATAAATGACTTAAAATATATTCAGGAATGGATTATGTTAGAGAATACTTGGCCAGCTCCCCATTCAGTAAAGATGCAGGTCAAAAAAAGAAAAGAATAAAAAAACGTAAATGATTGTCAAGTTCCTACAATCATCCATGCAAACAACAGATATTTATGCTGTTACATACCAGGCACTGTTTTATTTACTAGGCTTTTAGCACTGAAGAAAGCAAACAAGGCCCCTGTCTTTGAAGAACTTACATTCTGATGTGATTACCATGCCTTGATGGAAAATTGCATGCTTTTTGAGGCAGATGTGCCACAGTGCTGAAAATGAAGGTTATCTGATAGGTCCAGGTGATATAGAAATAGTATGAGAGGAGCTGGAGAGATGGCTCAGTGGTTAAACGTCATGGGCACTACACGACATGGGTGCACTTACATACATGCAGACAATACATTTATACACATAACAATTAAAAACAAAAAGGAGAGCTGGAGAGATGGCTCAGCGGTTAAGAACACTGGTTGTTCTTACAGAAGACCCGGGTTCAAATTCCAGGACCCACATGGTAGCTAACAACTGTCTGTAACAGCTGTCAGTTCCAGGGGATCCGACAGCCTCTTCTGTCCTCCACAGGCATTGCACGACAAGGGTGCACTTACCTACACTCTGGCAATGCACGCATACACAGAATAATAAATAAGGGGGCTGGAGAGATGGCTCAGTGGTTAAGAACACTGACTGTTCTTGCAGAAGACAAAGGTTCAAATCCCAGCACCCACATGGCAGATAACAACTGTCTGTAACTCCAGTTCCAGGGGATCTGACATCCTCTTCTCTCCTCCACGGGCATTGCACAACATGGGTGCAGTTACCTACCTGCAGGCAATACACGCATATGCATAAAATTAAAATATAAAAAAATAAATAAATAAAATATTAAAAAAACCCAAAAGGAAATAGTGTGAGAATTAGAATGAGCAAATACTGAGGTTGAGTTCTGTCTTTCATCTTTTCCTCTGAATTTTTTCTGAAATGAAAAGCAAGAGTGTGGAAAGGAAGAAGGGGTCTTGATAATCTGCAGAGACTTTCACATTAATGATGAAAGTTAACAGGAAAGAGACGTCTACTGCAGCTCATTTTGACTATCCTGTGTGGTTGCAGAATTAGCCTTGGCTCGAGAGATATTATCTGTCTAAAGTTCTTGCTATCATCAGAAAGGAAAACAACACCTCTCACAGTTGAATTACTTTTCTAGTTTTTCTGGCAACTAAGTCTTGATTGCATATTAGATTTGGAGCAGATGCCTGCCAAGCAGATCAATGTATTTAAATAAATTCCAGTCTTTTGAATCTGTATAATATAACATTTTAGAAAAAAATCATATTATATTCCATAGGGATTCTAGACTATCTGAATCCTTAAAACTCCATTTTTATCTTAATGCATTCTAAAATCATAGATCATAAGTATGAAATGTTGGATGAATGTGAACTTTTGAACAATAGAATAGTGATTTTTTTTTAAACTTCAACAATGTGCTTATCTAAGAAAAACCTTTACCGTATTGTTGCTGTCTGTGGAGCAGTGGCTAGTGAAATATTTTATCCACTTACAAAGTTAGAGAAAATTTCTACACCTATAAAGATATTTTAAAAATATTAGACCAGAATAGCAGCCCTTTAAAGTGATGTGTAGCAGACACTTCACATTGAGTGTGTGCCTTACAAGAATCATTTGATCTTTACAGTCTTGCATTTTGGGTCCTTTTATATAGATGAGAAAACCAAGACTCTAAGTTCTTATCTACGTGCCCAGCTTTCTAAAGTACTAACTGGTAAATCTGAAGCTTATTTTATTTTGGGAGGCAGTATCTTGCCTTGTACCCCAGGCTGGTCTCAAACCCATGATCCTCTTGCCTGAGCCCTCCTCAGTGTTGGGACTAAAGGTGTGTTCCCCCACATCCATCTCAAGTCTGGGACTTAAATGCAGTTCTGCTCCCAGAGGCTGTGCTCTTGGTTTCATATTTCTGCTTGTCTAGGACCATGAAACCTATTATTCTGATGGTGCTTACTATATTACAGGAGGATTCCTGTAGTTATGAAGAATCATTGAACAAAAAGGCATTATGAGACATTCTTCAGTGTTTTTATCAGAGCCACATCTCAGTTGTTTCAGTAGATGAGACTATAATGCTTTGAAAATGCTGTTTTTCAAAATCGTTCTACAGTACCAACTAGTCCTAAGCACATGAATGAAAGGACTATACCTTTCAATTTGTGTGCCTCTATGCTTGGCTTAATTTCTATTACACAATACATTTTGAATAACTCCTGCTGGCTGAATGATCAAATAAATGGTTGGATTTTCTTTGTTAATTTAGTACAATGAATAAACTTTATCATTAGTTTCTTTTTTGTTTTTTGTTTGCTTGTTTTTTGAGGCAGGGTCTCCCTGTAGTCCTAGCTGTCCTGGAACTCACTATGTAGACCAGGCTGGCCTTGAACTCACAGAGATCACCTGCCTCTGCCTCCCGAGTGCTGCTATTAAAGGCATGTGCCACCACGCCCGGCATCATTAGCTTCCTATACTAAATTATGTGCTCAGTTTCATTTAAAGAAAAAGTGAATGTACGTTTTTGTTTTTTTTTTTCCAGTAGAGATCAAAACCAGGACCTCTGTCACTGAAATACACCCCTAGCCCTTAGTTTTTTGAGACACAGTCTCACTAAGTAGCCCAGGCTGACCTTGAACTCACAGTCTTGTGCTGTAGCCTCCTGCATGCTGAGATTACAGATGTGTGCCACCGTGCTCAGTATATTTATTTTTCTGACAGTTATACGAAATATGAAGATAACCAGTTCCTTTTCTAGTAACCAACAGATGACTCTGAACTATAACGTAAGAGACCTTCATTACAACATGCGCAGGGCCATGTTCTGACTCAAGACACTGACTGATATTTTCAAGGCTTTCTGAGGACACTGTATAGTTAGGATGATTGTATCAAACTAAAACAAAATCAACTCATAATCAATACAATAGTCTAGTTCTTTGCCCTCTTCTCTACTATTTCTCTTTACTGATATTTATACATAAAATATGTGATTCTATCTAAATGAAAAATTGAGAATCAAAAACTCTAGAGAAACACAGTCCCGCCACCCCTCAAGGCAACAGAGCTCATATGTCCACTTGTCTTTTTAATTGCTTTAAAAAAATCACTCTAAGACTGGGCATGGTGGTGTACACCTTTAATCCCAGTACTCAGGAGGCAGAGGCAGGTGGATCTCTGTGAGTTGCAGGCCACCCTGGTCTACATAGTGAGTTCCAGGTGAGCCGGGGTACATAGTGAAACCCTGTCTCCAGAAAGCAAGCAAGCAAACAAGGCATCCACTCTTATTCTCCATATGTTGTAGAGCCACGTTATGAAAACACAGGATTCTAAGACATGCCAGAAAGTAAAATAATTCTGAGATACTGTTATACATTTCATAGCATTTATAAATTCCTACTTATTTTAGGCAAATTAATGTTAAATATAAAATGAGAAGCAACTATTAGTTATTTTTGTTGTTATGGTAGAATAGATGACAGAAACACATTTAGGAGGAATGATATATTCTGGCTTGGGGGTCAGGGACTGCAGTTCATCATGACTAGGACCAGAAGTTGGAGCAGCCTGTGGCTGGAACATTGGTTACACTGCAGCAGCGGCCAGCAAAATAAGAGCACCAGCCACTGGTGGGGTTCTGACCCCAAAGGCCCATTTCTCAATGGCCCCCTTCCTCCAGCTAGGGTCCATCCCCTCAAGGTTCTACAGTCTCCCCAAGCAGCACCACCCAGTGGGGACCAAGTACTCAAACACAAGAGCCTAGGGGTAGGGTGGGGCATGTTTAAAAATAATTTTTATTGAGTTTGTTCTTTGACAATTTCATACATCTACAATATGCATTATGAATATATCATACCTCCCTGTAATCTCCCTCCTATGGGGTACATTTTACTCTCAAACTGTAACAGATCAATCTATGAAGTATTGGATAGTATTAAATTTTTACAAATACCTTATAGAGTGAATAATCCACAAATAAATAACTGAAAATTGACATCAGGTTCATATCAATGAGTATACAAAGTTAATTTCACTTTGGTTAGTAAAATATAAATTGTTTTTAGCAAGGCTGAGGATCAAACCCAGAGTATTACACATGCAAGGCAAATTATCTTAGACCTAAAAGATTAATTTTTGATAACTTTTATGTATTTTTTAAAACATTTACCCCCTCTCCCCAAAGTTTATAAGGCTATTTTTTGAGAATAAAAAATGTAAACAAAGGCCGGGAGTGGTGGTGCATGCCTTTAATCCCAGCACTTCGGAGGCAGAGGCAGGCGGATCTTTGTGAGTTTGAGGCCAGCCTGGTCTACATAGTGAGTTCCAGGACAGCTGGGACTACAGGGCGACCCTGTCTTCAAAAAAACGAAAAAAAAAAAAAAAAAGTAAACAATTTTTTTATGTTAATGGAAGAAAAATTTGAATTAACCCATACAAACCCCAACTAATTCAGTAGCACACACAATGCACACACAAAATTCTCTGATAATGTTCAATAAACATGTATTATTAACTCTCTTCTCCTAGAAGGAGTCTCATAGGCATGAAACACTCACCTAAAAGTGCATTTTTCCCATGATCATCTGGTAGAAATCGCTTGTCTACAGCACAAACTAGGATGTGTTCAGGAAGATTAGGAGACTTGGCCCCCACCAGGAGGAATCCTGCTGGGATGTCAATTTGTTCCGTACACAGTGAGACCAAACGCAAATCCTTTCCTGCTTGACAAAAACCTAAAAGACAGGAAAAAAGGACAGAGTGAAATATTTAAAGGAGGTTATATCCCCCTCTCCCCCAGTGGGAAAGTAGGGTTACCTGTGGGAATCACTTCTAAGGACTTAAAGCCTAATGTACCCCAACAAGAACACAAATCTCAAATGTGCCCTCTAAGTAGTTTGAAAAGACACTAAAAGGGTGTATTCCTATCTGATTCAACCAAAATGACAACTTATATTTTCTGGTCCATAAGTAAGATAATCATAAATACACAGCAGCAAACTTGGAAAAGTACATGTACCTTTTATGTACACACAGTATGTTTTTACATTCATGTGTCTGTCTGTCTGTACTTATGTGTGAGGGTGTGGGTGTATGTGTATGTGTACGTGCAGGTGCCTCAAAGGCCACAGGATGATGTCGAATGTCTTTCTCAATTGCTTACCACCCTATGTTTTGAGACAGGATCTCTCACTGAACCTGGAATTCATCGATTTGGCTAGGCTGGCTGGCCGTTAGCTCCAAGGATCTGCCTGTCTTCTCCTACTCTCCCTGGACCCTCTCCCTCAAGTGCTGGGGTTACAGACACGCACTTGGCTTTTCGGTGGGTACCAGGGATCTGAACTCAGATCCTCATGCTTGTATGACAGGCACTTTACCCACTGAGCCATCTTCCCAGTCAAGTTTTTACTTTCAACATAAAGTCACTTATCTAAAGGGGACAAACACTGAATACTGAGGATCTGCCTGACACAGCAGAGACTGAAACTGAGTTTGGTGACTCACAAATGAACCAGTCAGAGCTAGAACTCAAAACTGTAAGACTGGTTTCATTAGACATGGCAAGTTCTTGTGCAGTCACTTTGTAACGGCTCATCATGCCAGTTCAATAACTAATAATTTGGCAACAGATGCTTCCTGGCCCTGAGGACACAGAGTTGGACAAAATGTATTTTCTTCTAAGAACTCACACTGAGATAGTTAGAAGACATTAGGAATAAGTATTCCTAAACACAGTAACACAGTGGACAGCTGTTGTTCTGTTTTACATCATTTGGGGAACGATCCTCTCTGTACTCAAACCATGTAACTTTCCTGGAGAGTACTGATATTCCCAACTGACCAGAAGCTGGCACTCCATTCTGGCTGGGCCATTCAATATTCCATCTTTCTTGTCATTGTTGATTGGTCCAGGGTGGGCACCTGATAAACCATGTCAATCAAAGCTTTTCCACAGGAAGTCTGGGAGCTTGATTTAGTTTGATCTCTGGCACCTGCTTTGTTACTTTACCTGTGAGAAAAGTCTCTTAGCAGGGACACAAAGCTGGGCAGGTAGGTTTGACAGTGAGATGACCCTGAAGCCCACCTGGATCTGCCTTTCTCATGGTTTGGCCATCTAATCTTTTGCTTTGGAATTCTTCCAGGAATGTTTTCACTTTACCTAAGCTAGCTTCAGTTGAGGTTCTGTCACTTGGAACAAGAAGCTGATAAATGCTATTTCAGAGATTTGTGGAGGATGGAGAATGAACATCTAACTCTTTACCATCATCATTACTCAACACAAAGTATATCAGGTTCTATAAGCATCAGTTCATATTATGATTTTAACCAAATGCTAACAAATAATTGGATGCCATCAGTTAGTATACGAAAAAGAAAAAAGAAACTCCATCAAAACATAGTATGAAGCTGGATACATACTCTACCATATTTCGAATCATCAAACCTTGAAAGCAGACATATCATTATTAGACAAAGCCAACAGAAAAAAGATTACAAAGATAAAAACAATGGTACTCAACAATTTCAGCCTGAGAGATCCTCTTTAACATTAAAATCAATTCAACTTAGAGCTCATGATATTAGTAGTATCAAAAGTTACTGAGTTCCTTAAAAACTTTTTAGCAAATTTGTATTATTCACAATATCATCTATGATTATTTGAAAAATAATCATTTATATTTGTGAGCCATATTATTCAGTTTACAAACTTTTTTGAGCCCGTGGACACATGGAACCCCCAGAAAAAATCCTAGGAGGCAGGGGTCAAAGGTTTAGAGGTTGGGAATTAACAATCATGACATTGATGGCTATTAAAATTTATGGAGTACCTACTGAAAAGCAGGCACAATGTATTTAATCTTCTCAGCATCTCCAGGCATATGCTGTCTCCTTGTCATAGATGGAGAAATGGAATCTTCAAAAGACAAGAACTTCTCAGAGGTTACATAATGAGTCCAGTAAGGTTCCATGATGTAAGACATGAGAAGCGGAGACTAGAGAGATGGCTCAGTGGTTAAAAGAGCTTTCTACTCTTGCAGAGGACCAGAATTCAATTTCTACCACCCACATGGTTGCTCACAACTGTTTGTAACTCCAATTCCAGGGATCCAACACCTCTTCTGGCCTCTTTAGGCACTTGCGCTCATGTAGCACACATTCACACACACACACACACACACACACACACACACAATAAATAAATTAATAAATATTTTTGAAAAGACAAGGGAAGTTTGTTATATAAGAACAAATGAAGAACACACTATTCATCTTGGCAAAAAGAAAACTAAGAACCAGGTGTGATAGTGTACATCTATAATCCCATCACTTGGGCTGTGGAGGCAGAAGGATTTTGAATTCCAGGCCAACCAGGGCTACAGAATAAGACCCAGTCTTAAAAGGGGGGTAATAGTGGGGATGTGGTAGAACACTTGCCTAGCACAGTCAAGGCCTTAGATTTTTTTTGGTCTTTTTTTGAGACAGGTTCTCCCTGTAGCCCCAGCTGTCCTGGAACTCACTATGTAGACCAGGCTGGCCTTGAACTCACAGAGATCTGCGTGCCTCTGCCTCCCGAGTGCTGGAATTAAAGGCGTGAGTCAAATACCCGGCCTAAGAACTTAGATTTGACCACCAGTGCAGAGGGAAGGAGGGAGAAGGGAAGGGGGAAAGGAAGAGAAAAGGAAGGGAGGAAGAGAGGAAGAAAGAAAAAACAACAAACTAAGAATAGTATGATTCGGTGCTAAAACTACTGTAGGTAGACTCGGGCTTCATCAAATTTAAAATTCTAAACTAGGGGGCATTTCAAAGTAATAAAAGGAGTACTAATTTTATTAATCAAAGGAATTACTAATTTGCAGTAAATCTTAAAATACATTTCACCCAAGAAGATTTCCTCCAAGAAGTGGAACATAAAATACCTTGCTAAACAGAATATATTAATCAGTGATAAAAAGTTTGTGATTGTCTATTAATGGAAAACTGTATGCTTTGGGAGCTGCTTTCATGAAGTAGCAATGCAGTCTTTCTACAACTGTGACTCACTCTGTATTAGAAAGAGTGGGCTAGAGGGCAACCACAATCTGTACCAGTTGCAAAATAATTACAAAGTTTTTAGAACATCACCATTTAAAAAACCTCAAGGTTGGGGCTGGAGATATGACTCAGTGGTTAAGAGCACTCTTTGCTCTTGCAGAGAACCAGAGTTTGGGTCCTAGCAGCACTTGGGTGGCTTACAACTGCCTGAAGCTCTAGCTCCAGGGATCTAATGCCCTCTTCTGGCCTCTTGAAGCATCCACATTCACATACAGATACCAGCACACAAGACATATATGCATACAAATAACTTAAAAATAAAATAAATCTTTGTTAAAACCCCCGCAGTATCAAGGTTTGTGCATATGCCAGACCTGTGAGTTCCTGCAGACTTGCCAGTTTCCCAACCCCAGTATTTCCTGTCCACCATCCCAGATCCCAGGTCTACACAGGGTTGTGGATTCTATTGTACCTGCCAAGGCCATTAGTTCCCCAGCCCAGTGTTCTCTCTCTGTTGACCCACCCAGACCAGCTCAGCTTCGTTAGTTCTATAGAAACTTACCTTCCCTTGTGGCCCTCCCCAGGTATAGGTGAGGTTGTGAAGCCTGTACATTAGTCCAGACAGACCCAGTCAAAAGTTACATTTGCACATCTTCTTGCTAACCACTGAATTGGAATCACCCCATCTTGCCAATTAAAAAAATCTACATTAAGCTGTCTTCCCTAGCAGCCTCTTGACCCACCCTGCCACTTCAGGACCACATGGAGTCTCTCCTGGAACCTCAGGCTTGGAAGTTGTACCTATTCCTAGCAGAACTAAGAGCACTTCTTACATCCCATTTGCATATCAACACAGAGTGACACCAAGATTGACCAACCAGCACCACTGTACTGGGCCACAACCTGACAAGTTGGAGTAACAGCAAACAAAGATCCAAACACCCACTCAACAAAGATGAGATCAGCTATCAATATCAAGAAACCCATAAATCACACAACTCTAGATGCTTAGGTTCCATTGCAAAAACACAAACAACATGAATAATCAAGACAATAAGTCTCCAGAAATTAGTATTCCCATCGTATTATTTCTTAAGAAAGGCAGCCTAGCTGATGCACAAAACAATGATTTCAAAATAGCAATTATAAATATGTTCAAGGAACTGAAAGAAGATATGATTAAAGATCAGTGAAGACCATGAAAACACAGTTGAATGAAATAAATAAAAAAATTCAAGACAGGACATTAGAATCCAATAAAGAAATAGAATCTCTGAAGAAAAGCCAAACTGAAATAAAACTTGAAATGGAAAAACTCAGGAAGTCAGACAAAAAACTCAGAGGAAAGCTTCACCAACAGACTGGATTAAGTGGAAGAGAGAATATCAGATCTTGAAGACAAAGTCAAGGAAATGGATCATTCAGTCAAAGAGAATATTAAATCCAAAATAACCCAGAAATGGAACATGCAGGAGCCCTTGGACACTATAAAAAGATCAGACCTACAAATTATAGGTATAGAAGAAGAAAAAACTCAAAGCACACAAAAAAAATATTCAACAAAATCATAGAAGAAAACATCCCAAATCTAAGGAAAGCGATACCTATCAAGGTGAAGAGGCATACAGAACACCAGTAGACAGGACCAGAAAAGAAAGTCCACATCATATGATAGTCAAAGTAATAGATGTACAGAATGAAG